GGCGTCGCACCACCACGCCGAAGGAAACCAGGCGCAACTACGTATCACCAGTGGGCTATGATGGGACTCATCATTATTTTCTGCTACATTTTCACTATTTGATTGAATAAAGCTAGCCAAGTGCTATGCAGATTGTTTTATTTTATATACTCTGGATCATACGTTGTAATAAATGATGCACTTGCTATTCTGGTATTCATCTATACTGTGTGTGCTAGCGAGTTTGATCCAGGGACTAGCACGGTAAGCACAGAGACTCAAATCCTTTGAGGTTTGGTCGTTACAGTATGCGAGGATCATGCACAGAGAGACAAGCATGCTGGACAGCAAAAGAAATTTCAGGACGAGTAATGGTAAGATACTGAAGAGCACCAGCAAGACTATGATAAAGAGTAGGATCATTGAAAGGATCACCATTGACAGAAAGTTTGAAACTAGTGTTGACAGGAGTATGGGAAGGATGACAGTCTAGCATACCAGCACGGTTGAGAAGATCTAGGATGTATTGACGTTGGGAAAGAAACAGACCCGATGAATCACGAATCACTGCAATGCCTAAAAAATGATGAAGAAGACCAAGATCTGTCATAGAAAACTCAGAGCGGAGATGAGTAATGATGCGGTCCAAAAAGGTTTGAGAAGAAGCAGTGAGAATGATATCGTCAACATAAAGAAGTAAGTATGCAATGCCAGAATTATGATGATAGACAAAGAGAGAAGCGTCAGAAAGAGAGGAAACAAAACCTATGGTTTGAATAAAGGAAGAGAAGCGTTGAAACCATGCATGTGGAGCTTGTTTGAGACCATAGAGAGATTTTTGAAGAAGACAAACATGGTTGGGATAAGAAGGGTCTTCAAAACAGAGAGGTTGTTACAGTAGACGATCTCTTGGAGAGAACCATGAAGAAAGGCATTTTTTACATCTAATTGGTGAATAGGCCAGGTGGAGGAGACAGCAAGGCCGAGAACAGTGTGTATGGTACTAGGCTTAACTACAGGAGAGAAAGTTTCATCGTAATCAATGTCATGTTGTTGGGAATAGTCGCGACATACCCAACGTGCTTTGTAGCGAAGAGTACCATCGGAGTTAAACTTCTGATGAAACACCCACTTACCGGAGACAATGTTGGTGTTGGAAGGACGAGGAACAAGCTACCAGGTATTATTTTCAGTAAGGGCCGAATATTCTTCTTGCATAGTTGCAGCCCAATTAGGATCAAGAAGCGCAATTTTGTAAGATTTGGGAACTTGAGACAAGGAAAGGGTGGCGTGAAGGTTGAGACGATTTATGGGTTGACAAAAACCTGATTTTGAACGAGTGCACATAGAATGGTCATTGATTGAGGGAATAGTGGGAACAGCTCGAATGGGAAGGGGAGCGACACGGATGTCCGTTGTAGCGGATGATGCGGACAATGGAGGGGATGCTGGCGAATCAGTATGTGTGGGTGATGGTGCTGGAGGGGATGGTGGCGCATCGACATGTGTGGGGGATGGTGCGGGAGGGGATGGTGGCGCATAGGTATGTATGGGCGATGATGCAGGTGGCGAAGATGGCGGGTTATGATTGGGTGTCGGCGGTGTAGGGGCGTTTGGTTGGGATGGTGGTGAAGAGGTATTTGGAGATAGAGATGTCAGGAGAGGAGCATAAAAAGGGAAATGAGTAGGAGGGAGATTAGGTGGGGAAGTAGTGGTGTGTGATGGAGAAGTACGTTGAGCAAATGGAAAGATGTGTTCGGCAAAGGTGACATGCCGAGATACAAGAACCCGACCGGTGTATAAGTCAAGGCAGCGATAGCCTTTGTGTTCATCCGAAAAACCGAGGAGAACACACGGGAGAGAGCGGGGAGAGAGCTTATGAGCGGTGGTAGCGGAAGTGTTAGGAAAACAGAGGCAACCGAAAACACGAATGTCAGAGTAGTTTGGATTGCACAGAAACAGAGAAAAGTAGGGGGTAATGTTGGGATTGGCTTTGATAGGACGGATATCGAGAAGATATGTAGCGGTGTGGAGAGCCTCAGCCCAGTATTGGGAAGGCATGGAAGATTGAAGAAGAAGGGTACGAATAATATCATTTATAGTGCGAAGAAAATGTTCAGCTTTGCCATTTTGAGGAGAAGTGTAGGGACAAGAAAAACGGAGAAGAATGCCATGGTTAAGAAAGAAGGTACGATTTTTAACATTACCAAATTCACGACCATTATCACATTGTATGAAGCGAATAGGGAGAAAGAGTGCACGGAGACGTATCGCTGAAAATTGAGAAAGAGAACGTGAACATCGGATTTGTTGCGAAGAGGAAAGGTCCAGACAAAGTGTATAAAATCATCTAATATGACAAGATAGTATTTAAAACCAAAGACACCGGCAATAGGCGATGTCCAGAGATCACAATGTATTAATTCAAAGGGATAAGTGCTTGAAGAGCTAGACGAACCAAAAGAAAGAGCACATGCTTGCCTAATTGGCATGACTCACAAACGGAGGAATCGTGAGAATCTCCATTACAAGGTATAGTAAATTCACTAAGAACAGACGCTAAAACTGCAGGATTGGGATGCCCTAGACGCCGATGCCAGAGATCAACAGATGCCATCATGGAGGTTGGAGATGTGACGGTATATATAAGAGATTACAAGCCAACTAGACCTATTACAATACGACTAGGACCAGGGGCGGACCTACATTGAGGTGAGTGGGGGCCCAGGCCCCACTCAAAATTTGAAACTCTAGTGATATTGGCTTGTGTTTTTCAAAAAATATGCTTAAATTCTTTGAATTTTGAAAGAATATGCCCCCACTCAAATACTTTGCCCCCAGTCAAAATACTCTCTAGGTCCGCCACTGACTAGGACTAGATAACTTGAGAGCCAAGTAATAGTCTAACAATCCACTCTGTTCAGAAAATCGTTTAATGTTATGTTGCCGATCAGAGGTCACAATTACCGGAGGTTTTAGTAATGCCTTAAAAATTTAATCGTGGCTCTGATTTGCTTCTCTCTATAGTAGTCTCTGATTTGCTTCTCTCTATAGTAGTTTTGCACGCTTTGCTTCTCTGTAGTAGTTTTGCTTGCTCGGCTGCACCGGCTTCACGAGCAAGAGCTTAATGATCGCCTGCACTTCTACTACTCCAACCCTCCCAATTTGAGTCCTTTTCTCTCCACTTCACGACGCCTTCCACGTTCTCCTTCTAGATCCAGTCGCCAAGCCGGAACTAGCTAGGGTTTTGGGTGGTGTATGAGTCGACCATGTGCCCTAGAACACACAGAAGGTGTGAGCAGAATGTCAGGTTATTGACATGAAACAACAGGGAGGGACAAGACGAGTTTCGGAGACCTAGTAGCACAGGTCGGCGGCGACATCAAAACTTAGCACGACGAAGGTTTAAATCATGACACCAAGTGCATACAGCATACCATAAGAACTAGACCAGCAACAGCACAGAAAGCCAGCATGAAGTCTGGTAGCGCATCTCAAATATTTAAACATTGCAAACTGTTTACAATCTAGTCGGAAAATGAATTACACCAGTGTTTCTGTTCAAGGCAAGGGCAACCCAAGCAGCATTGTGCCCTCGGCATCTGTAGAAACCATAAACTTGAAGTGCAATGCAATGACAATGGTTGCACACGTCCAATCCAAGGGAGCAAGAGTTTAATGCTGAATCCCTCAGGACGAAACAGAGGCAATTAATAAGAACTGCCCCAGGAAAGCCGGGTTTAATGCTGAAGGCTCCCTTGTTCCTCCTTGTCAGGACCGTCACTGGAAGAGGCGCCAGCAACTGACGTATCCTGCCAAAAGTGAACGTGGATCAGGATATCAAATACAAGTGCTCACGACTTTCATCCCCTGTGCTAATAACAGTAACCATTAAGAATTCTGATTACAGAAAAAGACATATCTATCAGATATCCTCATTGTTCTCTAACAGTAAACAAGGGGGCACAGTGTTGCTAAATTTCAACATGAGGAATCAAAACCAGAACAATACAGATTAAAACAAAATTTTGTAATGGATGGTAACAATAATCTTTTTGGCTACTCGCAAAATTCTTTGTTTTAGAACTCCTTTCTTGTAACTTAATCTGCTGTTCATAGGTATATGGAATAGATCAATCTATCAACCCTCTCTTATACTCCCTCCGTAAAGAAATATAAGAGCGTTTAGATCACTAAAGTAATGATCTAAACACTTATATTTCTTTACAGAGGGAGTAGTTACTTGTGCACAACTACAACAACAAAGCTATCGTCCCGAGCAAGTTGGGGTAGGCTAGAGATGAAACCCAACAGAAACATCTGAATAGTTACTTATGGACAGTCAAAGTAAAATAATTCAGTGCTCAATTAGCACAAGCACAAGTGCACAACTATCTCACTTCTCAGCATGTACAAAGTATTCCATCAAACATGAAACTGGAAATGCATGCAAGAAAATGGATAGACAGGCTAAGTTGCTTATTTCTGAAGATAAGTTAATAGGCATCATAACTACAGCAAATGAGACCAGTAGGCCACAACAGAAACGAGAACTGGAAGGTTGTTGCTGAAAACATGGATAATTTAGAAGTCAAGTTTAGAACCAATGCAAATTCACCTGATCCAACATATGACTTCTAACAGATATTCTCAAGTGCCTGCTTCACAACCTATAGGAAGGACAACTTTATCAAATGTGGCATATTTCACCAACAGTAGTAAATAATGTTAGTACATCAACAAATGCGAGCACACTGTCACACTGTACCTTCACCATGTCTTTCATCTTACTTAAACGATCCATTAACTTCTCCTGGGCCCGATTGTACTCCACCCAATTAAGCCTCCGGATGGACCTTAGCTATTGGACACTTGCAAGACACTTGTTAACACAGTAGTTACAATGCACTTAAAATATTATCATGCATTTGGCCTAAATAATTATAAACGTTTTGAACTAACATGTGAAAAGTGTGGTAACATACATTCTATCATTTCAGTAAAAAATTACCTGATCTGGGTTATCTGGTTTGTGCTGTAACACCTGACACCTGTTTGAGTTCCGTGAGTACATGTTCTGCTATGTTATGTTGCTTATCCTTCAAAAACTGGCACCTTCCCCCCATTGTTTCTGCGATTTCCTACAAAATGGCAAACTAGCAGTTTGTCAAATCTTAAAATGATAATTAATATTCATCAAGGCCTAATAATAACAGTCTGGCAAACATACAAGTAAGTTGTGCTCAAATTTGTGCATCTGGCACTGCATATCCACTAACTTGCTAAGCCTACGCTTCCATGTCTCCCACTTCTTCAATTGCCAGCCTTCACGCTGTTTTGGTCTATGTACAATGCCAGCCTTCTTGTATACATCTAAACGTACAAGTGACTTCACACATATGTAGGATTGCATGTTGTACGGCTTGCGGGGGCTGAAATCTAACAGGTTTACCCCCTTACACAGGTTAACATCAAAGTTCTCGCCGAACAACTCATACGCATATACGTTATCGCTGCAAAGCTGTGCGAGGATCCTATCCCTGTGAACAAAATGTGGACCTGAAATGTAATTTGGTGGGTTCTTAATATTGTACTTCTGGCTCCACCTTTGTTGCTCTACCGTGTTGTCGAGTGTCCAGATCTGCAGCTCACCAGCAAGAGCTCTGGGAGCATAACGACCTGTTTGAGCAGTTACTATACATATTTTCCCATCTATATCTCTGATCCAGAACTTACGAGGACCATAATAATCATGATCTTCACGTGCTGCTGGCAGTTGAATTATTGCAAAACTTTCTTCCCTGAGATCAAAGGACATAACCGCATGCTGCCAGCTAGCTAACATTTCTTCAGTCAACCAATAAATTTTGCCATCAACATTGACAACTCCAGAGTTTCTTACAGCGATCAAGCTAAGAGCTTCTGGAGTACGGATATCTTTCCATTTCTCATCACCAAGCGTGTAAACTTGAATGACACTGAAGCTGTCTTTATTACGGGGGCGACCCTCAACACAATCACCAAGGAAGTGTGTAATCTTGTATTCTTTTGTCACGGGATGAAATCCAAAGCTGTAGAAAGAGAAGTGATCACCCTTCACATTCTTCGCAGGTTTCTCAAGATGTAGACATTCACCAGTTGCAAGGTTAGCTATCTTGATAGTTGATGTCTTTGTGTATAAGCCAAGGAGTCCATTGCATGAACCAAAAAGGAAATCATCAGGCCCAATCACTGGCACTGCGCGTGTCGATGGCGACCAGGCTTCGTCAATTAGGATAGCATCACTAGGGTAGGGCTCGCCTGAGACCGACTCTTGCTGGAAGAACAGAAGGACATCTCGGGGCGCACACTGAAGGTGTGATACGACAAACTGTGGATCACGGATGAAGTTGTGCCAGTGCTTGCAGACACTGACGCCCCTCAACAAAGTGCTGACTGGAAGCCTCAAAAATATCCGCTCAATGAGGTCCCCTGGGAGACTGTTTATAATGCAGTCATCATTTCTTTGCTTCTTTGATTTGATTTCCTCAGAAGCCATAGTAAGCAAAATCTAGGCTCCGGGGGAAACCTAGGTACCGAATCCTTCTGCAAACACACACATTAAAAAAAGCAAAAGGCCAAACTGTGTAAAGATTATGATTAAACAAAGAGTAATATGCTGGCAAGTGAAATGAAGTCCAGGTAAAGTTTAACAGATGTTTAAGTTTATCTACTGAGAATGGGTAAATAAGGAATTAAGTAGCGGACCTATAGCAAATATGGAGCCTTGTGTGGCCCTTGACTAAATATAATCATAAGCGAATCAATATACATATAATGCCTAAAATGTTGAAAAATCAAGCTAGTTTAAAACTAATTGAAGGCATGGTCAAGTGCACATATAAAGATGCAGATGAAATACAAAGTGAGTACTACACCACCACAACATGCGCTGAATGACTCTCTGCACAGCAGAATGTGTGCATAAGTGCAACAGCCACACAACTTAGAAAATAGTTTTCGCTGAAACATTGAGCAGAACAAGCAAACGGCGCATTTGGCATTGGGAAAGACCGTACGAATCCGGATCAACGAGCCAACACTGCATGAGCGACAAAGAGCTCCGGCTGTGGCCAGCAATTTCTGCTCCGTTTATAGGTTTCAGTGGCTACGGTGGACAGCAATTTCTGCACCATTTGTAAGATTCAATGACTACGGTAATGTGCAGATGTCTAAGCGGACAGTACCATAACGGTACCGTGAACCAGTTGATTCCGAGACATGTTTTCTAGACGGGAGTTCTTGCAGGTGCAGGCTCTCTAATGAAATCTCTACCTCTGCGCAGCCGTGTGGATGTGGGGGCAGAAAAAAGAAGGAGGCCCGAGCTTACCGCCACCGCGTCGACCTGCACGCCGCCGAGAACCCAAAGACCACCTCGCCTCCCCTCCCCTCCCTCGAGCACGCGAGTCGCGCGGCCTCGCTTCGCCGGCGGAGGCTCGTCTCCCGCCGCAACCGCAGCCGCACCGCACCGCACGGGCGGTCTGTGTCTAGGGTTAGAGCGGGGAAATGGAGACTGGGGATTTTGAGGAATCGCGGTTCGCGCACGACTGCCGCGCGGTCGGGCCGGGCGGTCACTCAGCAAAGCGGAAGCGAGCGCGGCCCAGCACCAAGCAAAGGGCCCAGCCCGGTTCATCAAGACCATGACAATGGTATAATGCAAAGATGACATAATTGCTGTGTTCAAAAAAAAAAAAAGATGACATAATTGCTTCCATTGCGTCGAATAATTTCTTCAGAAAAAAAGACACTGTTTCTCAAATTGGAAACTTACATAACATTAGTATAGGACGTAATTGTAATTCATGCACAAAGTTGGTTTTGCATGACGAGATGTTCTCTGAAACTTCAGCAGATGTTCGTAGTGGCAATAGTCGGTTCGAACATTCAAACATAACAGCAGATACTCCTTCCGTTCCTAAATGTAAGTCTTTTTAGAGATTATAATAAGTGACTACATACGGAGCAAAATGAGTGAATCTATACTCCAAAATATGTCTATATACATCCGTATGTAGTCCCTTATTGAAATCTCTAAAAAGACTTATATTTAGGAACGGATGGAGTAGATGTGAGATACATAAAACCACCGGCTTACTGGCTGGAAAAGCTAGCAATCACTCGGGACTAAAAAGACGCAATAGCTGGACCGTAGGAAGAGTCTAAGGGCTCATTTGGTGCACAGGGAAAACTCGGGGGATCCCCGCGGCCCCATTTGGTTGTACGAGATCCCTGGGGGATCCCTGCCTTTTTCCTGGGTTGATAAACCACGGGCTTTGTTGGCCCTGATCAATCAAACTGCCCTATTTGGTAGCACGCGAGGGAGGAAGATCCCTGGGCTTTCCCCGGCCCATCCCCGGTTAGATCTCCCTATGTCGATAGGTCGGGGAGAAATCCCTCGATTAGTTCGCTCGCTCTCCCTCGCGACCTTCTAGCTCCGCCTCCGTTCTTTCCCGCCTGACAAACCCTTGCCCCCGCCCCTCCCTCCCCTCCCCCCCTTTCATCCAAATTGAGGTCGTGTTCTCCGCGTGGTGGGAGGGGATTCCCAATGATCATGGAAATCCCCCAAGGGGGATTAGTGCCCTGGGGTACTTTACACTTCCAACCAAATTAGGCCTACCAGGGACAGAAAGGCACGCGTTAAACTCTCCCAGGGAATTCTGCAGTTCAGACCCAAGATAAGGAAATCTAGGCCCTCCCCAGCCGAATCCCAGGGAAGAAAAAACACTAGTCATGACGTGTGGGAGAAGTTCCCCCGTTTCTCTCGCTGTGCCTCTGGTCACAAACCCCGCCGCCGTTATCGTTGGATTTTCCCTTCGCTTACGCCGCTCACCTCGACCGGTCGACCCCCTCCTTGGCTCCTCTCTCCTCTACTCCCAAATGGCGATGCCAAATTTCCCTGGGGTTTCCATTTTGTCAGGAATCAGCTCTACCCCGAGTACATCTTCCCCAGCAACCAAACAAGGCCTAAGCGACCTAAGAAGAATGCCATGATAAGTTCTCAAGTCCCAGGTTTGTATCATCTTCGCCACTGTGATTCTGTGAAGCAATGCCAGCTTTTGAAATTGAAGTACCCTTCTTCTGTGAAGCAATGCCAGCAATGACAAGTTAAAAAGTACACTTCTGAAACATAAATCAAGGGTCAAACAGATTACTCGCCAGGGGAAGCTTACCCAGTACATACAAAAGGGAAATACCATTCAACTCGGTAACTTGGCATTCTCGGCCCAAAAGAAAGAAAAAGCTTGGCAAAATACGTGTTCGTTCCAGGTTGGCGCATTTCTAGCCTTCAGACGTTCCAGAATGTTTTCGCCCTCTACTCCCTCAGACGACACTAATGCACAAGCATAGCCCATTTTGCATTCGAAAACACACTTTGGTTGGAGACAATTTGGCAGATTAGTCCACAACATCAGATGCATATCGTGAGAACTAATAAGAGAACTACAGCGCAGAGAGCCAGCATGAAGTCTGACACTTAATCCCAAGTATTTAAGACATTGCAAATTACTACTACATCATTATTCCTGTTTAAGGCAAGACCATCGTTCCTGTTGGATCTCTCGGCCAAGCGGCAATTTGCGCTCAACATTTATAGAAACTAGAAACCTGAAAGTGCAATGTAATGACAACAAGCAACTGACGGAGCGAGAGGCTAAATCCGACTACGAACAACTGCTGCGCACATCCAATCGAAGGGGACAAGAGCCTCCTTGGCAGAGGTTACAGAATCTCTCAGGATGAAATAGAGACAATATAACAAGAAGTGCTCCAGATAGCTAAGTGCAGTTTTAAATGTTGTCTTCTTCCTTCTTCTAGTCAAGACGGGCGATGGAAGAAGAAGAAGCGCCAGCAGCTGATTTACCCTGCCAAAAGTGAATATGGATCAGGATATCAAATACAAGAAACTGTTCGCTACTTCATCCCATGTGCTAACACGAAACATTTAGAATTCCAATAAAAGAAGAGACATACTATCGTATATCCTCATAGTTCTTCTCTAACAGTAAACAAGGGGCACATTGTTGCTAAATTTCAGGATGAGAAGTTCAAAACCAGAACAATACAGATGAAAGTAAAATTTTGTAACGGACAGTCTCAATGATCTTCTTGGCTACTCACTCCATGCTTATGATGATCCATTATAGTTACTGATGCACAATCGGAAAAAAAATTCCAATGCTTAGTTAGCACGACTATGCTCATTGCTCATCATGTACAAAGTACTCCAGCAAACATGAAACTGGAAATGCATGCAAGAACATGAAATTTGCAGAACTAGGCAACTACTCCCTCCGTTTCTAAATATATGACATTTTGGTAGTAGTTCAATTTGAACTACCAAAACGTCATATATTTAGGAATGGAGTGAGTACTAGACAAGGCATGTTGGGTTTGCAATATTAAATAAGAGAATATAACTTTTTTAGGATGCTGGATATACTCTTTAAAATAAAAGGGATGACATGAAGTTTTTTGACTGCATGTATTTAAACCGTAGTGAATAAATTAATTTCCATACGATGTAAAATATGTGAACCGCTAGATTAAGTGCACGGTGAGTTGAATAAGTAGAGAACTTCAATTAAACAAAGTTGCACAGCTGTCAAAAAGTAAAACATACAAGCAGTTGTATAAGATTACGTTTGGTGTGGGAATAGTCATAGTTTAGTGGGCAAGACATTCATTTATTTCTTTAGAGAACATGCAAGTCATTCATTTATATGAATAGAGAACCCAGTTAAGCTGCTTATTTCTGAAAATAAGTTAATTGGCTTCATTATTATGGCAAATGGGACAAGTAGCCAAAAAAGAAGCGAGTAACAAGCTGGCAGGTTGTTGCAGAAAACATGGGGCAGCCCGGTGCATGTAGCTCCCGCTTGCGCAGGGTCCGGGGAAGGGTCCGACCACTTTGTTGCAGAAAACATGGATAATTTAAAAGTTTAAACCCGCAAAAGTTCACCTTATCCGACTTAAAACTTGCAATGATGCTCAAGATGTTATCATGTGCCTGCTTCATGACCTATAGGAAGGTCAAGTTTGTCAAATTAGACATACTTCAACAACAGTAGTAAATAATGTTTGCTAGCAAATCAACAAATGCAAGCAAACTGTACCTGAGCCCTTTCTTTCAGTTTCACTGAACGGGCCATCAACTTCTCATAGTCCTGCTTCTGCTCCACCCAATTAAGCCTCCGGGGGGACTTTGGCTATTGGAAAATTGCAAAACACTTGTTAACGCACTAGTTACAACACACTTAAAATAGTTTCGTGGCGTTGGTTGTAATGTATGTCCGGTGGTTGTTAGTTGTGGTCTTGTCTTCAGTGGTCAGTTGTTTGGCCTAGTCTTAGGCCTTGTAACTATATTTTTTCTGTCAAGGCATCAAGATGCAAGCTTTGCGTTTTCTCAAGGAAAAAAAAATCTTGTTACGCCTTTGCCGTCAGATAATTATGGATCTTTTTAATTAAAATGTGAAAAGTGTGGTACCCTCGATTCTACCATTTCTGTAGAGAATCACCTGACTTGGATTATCCGGCATGTCCTGCAACACCTGATTGAGTTCTGCGCGTAGACGTTCTGCTACATCATGTGGCTTATCCTGCAAAGACTGATACATTTTACCCATTTTTTCTGCATTTCCCTACAAAGTGGCAAGTTAGAGGTTTGTAAAAAATTCCAAAATAAGGAACATTCATCAAGGTTGAAGGCTAATAACAGTTTGGCCAACGTACAAATAAGGCATGCTCGTGTTTGTGGACACGGCATCGTATATCCTCTGCCTCACGACGCTTATCCTCCCATGCCTTCCACTTCTTCAATTCCCAGCCTACTTGCTGTTTCGGTCTGCGCACAATGCCAGCCTTTTTATATACATCTAAAGATACAAGTGATTTCACAACGATGTAGGATTGCATGTTGTACATCCAACGGGGTTTGGAATCAAACAGCTTCAGCTTCTTGCTCAAATCAATCTCGAAGTTTTCACTAAACAACTCATATGAACACACGCTGTTGTAAAGTTGCGTCATGATCCTATCCCTGTGAACAGAATGTGGACCTGGAATGTAATTCGGTGGGTTCTTAATATTGTACTTCTTGCTCCACCTTTGTTGCTCTACCATGTTCTCAAGTGTCCAGATCTGCAGCTCACCAAGAAGAGCTCTGGGATCATAACGACTTGGTTGAGCAGTTACTATGCATATTTTCCCATGCATTTCTCTGATCCAGAACTTACGAGGACCATAACGATCCTCATCTTCACGCTCTGCCGGCAGTTGTATCATCGCAAAACTTTCTTCCCTGAGATCAAAGGAAATAACTGCATGCTGCCAGCTAACTAGCATGTCTTCAGTTAACCAATACATTCTGCCATCAACATTGACAACTCCAGAGTTTCTCACACTGATCAAGCTAAGAGGTTCTGGAGTGCGGATATCTTTCCATTTCTCATCACCAAGCGTGTAAACTTGAATGATGTTGAACCTGTCTTTATTATGGGGGCGACCATCAATGCAGTCACCAAGGAAGTGTGTGATCTTGTATTCTTTTGTCACGGGATGAAACCCAAAGCTGTAGAAACAATAGTGATCACCTTTCACATTCTTGGAAGGTTTCTCAAGATGTAGATATTCACCAGTTGCAAGGTTAGCTATCTTGATCGTTGATGTCTTTGTGTATGACCCAAGAAGGCCATTGCATGAGCCGAAAAGGAAATCATCAGGACCAATCACTGGCACTGCATATGTCGACGGTGACCAGGCTTCGTCAATTAGGATAGCATCACTTGGGTAGAGCTCGCCGGAAACCAAACCTTGCGGGAAGAACAGAAGAGCATAACTGGGTGCAAGCCGGAGGTGTGATGCGGCAAACTGTGGGTCCCGGATGAAGTTCTGCCACTGCTTGCAGACGCCACGGCACGTCAACAAAGTGCTCACTGGAAGCCTAAAAAATATCCGCTCAATGAGGTCTCCTGGGAGGCGGTTTATGATGCATTCCTCATTTATTTGCTTCTTTGCTTCGGGCTCTTCAGCAACCATCGCGAGCACGCGATGCTGGGGCAGCTGAACAACCAAACCACTCTGCAAACACACATTCCAATTAACGATGCAGTCCCGCAAACAGAAAAATGATACAGGGCATACTGCTTGGAGTTTGACTTGAAAAATTACTAGACAGAAAACGGTCATTAAAATTATTTTGTCGGCAAAGAAAGAAGATGAAACATATCCATGTTTGTATCGCTTCCAAATATCTATTTACCAGCCAATGCGCCATCTAAAAAAGAAGGTACTGACGGCATCTAAAAACTTCTGCTCTGTTGCAGCGTCCAAAATTTTGACTAGAAAAAAAATCCGCTTCTTCCGTCTCCACGCTGAAACAATGTTATCAATTACCAAAAGCGTAATCTTGCGGTCGAAAGAGAAAAGAAAAATACTCTAATGTTATCGTCATCTCTCATGTACCCGAACTGCAGAGTACTGTCAAATCCAAGGAACAATCATGCGCCCTCCCTCCGGCGCCTCAATCCCTCAACTCAGGGCAAGCAGCCAGAAACCCTAGCCGCCGCTGCAGTTACAGATGGAAGGGGCGCGGACGAGAGGGGCGTCGGAGGAGGAAACAGCCCGCAAGCAAAAGAGGAGACCGAGGGGAGTGGAGGACTCACAATCACGGGCGCGATCAGGATCAGGCGGCCGCCGCCATGGGAGGAGGAGGGCTCTCCGCTTGACGCGGTGGAAGATTTCCCGCAGGCCCCAAGAGCTGGTGACGAAATGATTTCCTGCTGCTCTTTCCCCCACCCTCCTCGGCTGCCGTTAGCGGCTTCCGTGATTTCGCCGGGCAGGAAGGAACAGAACAGAACAGAAGGGATATATGTATGCTTTTTTTTAGGGTAGAGTAGTGTGTATTAGCATGTGGGGCCCAGGTTCGGCCCAGTTAGCGGGACATAATTTTTTTTTTTGCGTGCAACAAATTTAGAAATTCGATCAAACTTTAAAAAACGTGAAAAATTATTGAAAAAAATGTTTGAAATTTCAAATGATGATTTTTTTAAATATACATTGAACATTTTGTGATATACGCCGAACAATTTTTAAGTACACAGTGAACACTTTGTAACATATGCTAAACAAATATTTAAATACGCATTGAACATATTTTGTGATATACGCTGAACAATATTTAAATAAACATTAACATTTCTAAATATATGTTGAATGACTTTGAAATACACAATGAACATTTTTTAAAATAAGTTGAGCACTTTCTTAATGTAGGGTGAACATTTTCTTAAATATACGATGAACATTTTTATATATAACATGCAATGAACTGTGTATAATACACTGAAAAAGAGGGGCGTCGGAGGAGGAAACGTCCCGCAAGCTAAAGAGGAGAGCGAGGGGACTAGAGGATTCACAATCACGAGCGTGGTCGGGATCAGGTGAGCTCCGCAGTCGCCGCCATGGGAGGAGGACTCTCCGCTTGACACGGTGGATGATTTCTCGCAGACCCCAGGTGGTGCTGAAACGATTTCCTGCACTCTCCCCCCTCGTCGCTGGTGGTGGTGGTGGACGTCTGTCACTCATCTGCATCTCGTTTTGGCATGGAGAAGCACGGGCACCGGCGGCGTCCGGGCTGCCCACAACCCGTTGAACGGAATGATACAACAAGACTAGGTATGTTCTTCTTGCTCCTATCCGATCAACTTTGCATATCCCATGTTCAATGTTTACATAGACCATTAGTTCATCGATCTCATCACATCCCAATCCAAGCAAGGATAAGAAGAAGGCAAAGACGACAAAGGCAAGAGGTCCGACATTCTCAACTTTTGAGGTGAAAGTGCTAGTTATCGACTAGAGGGAGGGTGAATAGGCGATTTTTGTGAAAGTCTTCAAAACACGGGGTCTTTGAAGACAAACAGTAGCAATGAACCTATTGATATGCAGCGAAAGGTAGACTACACTAGGCAAGCCATAGTCAAGTAAGCAATGAAGTGAAAACACGAAGACTATCAGCAGCTAGGTAGTAAGGATCGGGATGGAAGATAGTATGAAGCCAAACAACAACAGTGTTCACACAGTGAAGACAATCAGATCATGCAGGGAGAGGCAATGACTTCACAAAGGCAAACTGTAAGTAATGAGAGGTAATGGATAGAACCAGTTGCTTGGAGAGGACAAGGATTTGTTGGACCAGTTCCAGTTGTTGTGACAACTGTACATTTGGTTAGGGAGGCTGAGATTCAACTCAGAAGACCGCGTCTTCATCTTATTCCCCTTGAGCTAAGGACACTTAGTCCTCGCCCAATCACTCTGGTAAGTCTTCAAGGTTGAAAGTGCTAGTTATCGACTAGAGGGGGGGTGAATAGGCGATTTTTATCAAAGTCTTCAAAACATGGTAGTTTCGAAGACAAACAATATAAATGACCTAATTGATATGCAGCGGAAGATAAACTACAACAAGCAAGCCATAGTCAAGTATGCAATAGTGTTAACGTACGAAGACTAATAGCAGCTAGGTAGTAGGATCAGGATGGAAGATAGTACGAAGCCAATCAACAATAGTAGTCAAGCAATGAAGTCAATCAGATAAGACAGATAAACAATGACTTCACGAAGACAGACTCAAAGTAAAGGGGGGAAGAGATAGAACCAGTCACTTGTCGAAGACACGGGATTTGTTGGACCAGTTCCACTTGCTGTGACAACTGTACGTCTGGTTAGGGAGGCTGAGATTCAACTCAGAAGACCGTGTCTTCACCTTATTCCCCTTGAGCTAAGGACACTTAGTCCTCGCCCAATCACTCTGGTAAGTCTTCAAGGTAGACTTCCGAACCTTCACAGACTTCGTTCACCCGGCAATCCACAATGACTCTTGGATGCTCAGAACGCGACGCCTAACCGGCTGGAGGATACACAGTCCTCAAGTGTAATAAGTCTTCAGGTCACACAGACAGAAAGACTTCAGTGATGCCTAACACTCTTTGGCTCTGGGTGTTTGGGCTTTGTCCTCGCAAGGATTTCTCTCTCAAAGGCTTCGAGGTGGGTTGCTCTCAAAACGACAAAAGCCGTAAACTAACTCTGAGCAGCCACCAATTTATGGTGTAGGGGGTGGGCTATTTATAGCCACAAGGCAACCCGACCTAATATGTCCGAAATGACCCTGGGTCACTAAGGAACTGACACGTGTTCCAACGGTCAGATTTCAAACACACATGACAGCTTTACTTGGGCTACAAGCAAAGCTGACTCATCCAGCTCTGGATAAGATTTGCTCTCATTGTCTTCGCTCGAATACATAGGATTTAGGTTGAGCATCACTTCAGTCACTCTGACTTAGTTCACTTGGACCCCACTTAACAGTGCGGTGGTTCCTATGACTCAACAAAGAAGAAAAGGAAACAATGAAACGACTCAGTCTTCGCGCTCCATAGTCTTCACTCAATGTCTTCTCATGTCATAGACTTCAGTGTGAATATCTTCACACACCACCATTGTCTTCAATGTCTTCATACATTTTTAGGGGTCATCTCCGGTAGGTAAACCGAATCAATGAGGGACACTACCTGCGTTATCCTGCAATTCTCACAAACGCATTAGTTCCTCAACCAACTTTGTCGTCAATACTCCAAAACCAACTAGGGGTGGCACTAGATGCACTTACAATCTCCCCCTTTTTGGTGATTGATGACAAACTGGTTGAAGTTTTCAACGGGAAAGAAGTATGTGAAATTGTAAAGGATAGCGTATTGTCTTCATAAGTGGCAAGGGCTCCCCCTGAAGATGTGCATATAAATAATTTGCTTTTGGAATGCAAATGCACATGGCAGGTTGTACTTGTGGAGATCCTCTTCAACTTATGAAGATAATTCATCATGCATGAAATGATATAGCTAAGAGAATGACATGCATAATGAAAAATGGACGTCTGCAGAATGATCTAAGTGCGGAAGTTATCATCGCGCGTGGAAACGCAAATAAGTAGCAGACGACCATCAAGTTTAAGTGTTACAACTCAAAGAACGAAGTGTATCAAAAAGCAAGAGTTGTAAGCACTAGGCAAAAATATAAAGCAACCGCCCTTATGAACCCGCTTGAAGACTATCAAACTCATACGCTTCTCCCCCTTTTGTCAGTAATGACCAAAAAGGTTTGAAGACATAGAGCATCTACTTGTCCTCATGAGGAGTAGTTGAAGCAGCAGGGTTGTCGTTGTCGTTTGGCGTTGCAGGCGAACTTGGTGCAGTGTCGATGCGTGCAGAAGTAGGGGGCGGTGAAGTAGCATCGTCTTCATCATCGATGACATTGGCATTGACAGTTGCCGCGGAGGAAGAATAATCAGAGTCTTCAAGAGATGGAGTTCTTCGTAGGACAGCATTCCATGGAGGAGTGGAGTCAAACTTGAATCTTTCCGTGAAGCCATCATCTTGAAGATCAGCTTCAGCACTGAGTAGGGTCAAACTCTTCCATGAACGCCGACAAGTTTCGTGAGTGACAAATGCATTCTTGGTGGCAAGGTTTGGAATGCGATTTACGTCCACCAAGAGGCTTTGCATCTGACGCTTCAGCCAAAAATGATGCTTATCTTGCTTCTGATGTAGGGCCACAAGAAGTTCTTGGTCATTTAGGACCCGAGAGTGCTTCCGAGGCCTTTGAGCAATGGTACTCTCAATAGCTTCAATTGGTGCACGATGAGGCAGACGAGTATTCCCAGCCATCGGATAGACACGCGTGACAGCTTGGACTCCTTCCATAGGCTGAGTGAAGCTTTGATGTTCAGCATTCTGAAGACAAAGAGGCTTCTTGGCAGGTTCAGGGTATATGGCTTCAACTGACATATCAACCTTTGGTAGGAAGATCACATGATTGCGAGCAGATGGTTGATAGTTGACAGCAGAGTGTTGCTTGATGAGGTGCATGACCCATGGAGCATAGAATTTTAGTTCGAAGAGGTCAGATCCAGATGCAGCCAGTTGCCTGATGAAGAAATCTTGCGCATTGAAGCTGATGCCATTGAGGATGTAAAAGACCAATGT